TTTAGGCGAGTCTGTTGCAAAGAAGCTCTTCAATTTGGAACCGAAAAATCCCGGGAACTACATTCTTCTGTCAAATATTTATGCTTCCGAGGGCATGTGGGCGGAAGTCGATAGCGTGAGGGATACAATGAAGAGTCATGGTTTGAGGAAGAACCCTGGCTGCAGTTGGATTGAACTGAAGAATAGAGTGTTAGAATATGAGCATGAGTATGAATCGGTAAACTTGGTTGTAGGATTAGAGATTGAATAGGAAGTCTTGTTGAGAATGGATTTGTAAATCCATGTTGTAACTGGACTGTTATTTGGAATGAATTGGAATTCCATATGGATTTTAATAGGGGAATCCTTATAGAATTTGACTAAGATTGTATAGTATATATATGGTGGCCTCTGCTCTCGCAGTGCGAACTCAATATAAGACTAAGACCTATTATTAGTTGAGAACCTTGAACACTGAAGAGAGGAGAAGGTGCACTACAACATTGTTACAGAAATCAGACATGGCAACCGGTTCAAGTTCATCTACAGGTACGGTTTTCTCCATACATTGGTTTAATGAACGATGATTTGTGTTTTGATAACAGTAGCTCATATAACTTGTTATTGGTTTATGTTTATTCTAACATAGAGTGCACATGCTTCTTGCAGGAGACAAAGCGCATCTGCAAACGAACCAAATTATTGACAAGCTGGATCAACTGAGCTCGGAGATGAAGAAATCGGGATGCTTTCCCAATACCGAGTTTGCATTGCAAGATGTGGAGGAACACAGTGAAAAGTTGGCGGTGGCGTTAGGGCTTCTGAACACTCCTCCCGGCGTGTGCATGGCGGAACTAGGACTTGAAGACACCTCAATTCAAAGGATGAATCTCCTTTTGAGGTACTCATGTGGTGCCCTCGTTTGTTTGCTTCAGTTCATCATCTTTACAAGAACGAATGATTGCATCGCTTCAATAAATTCGCCAAGAAGGCAGTCTTCAATAAGTCCGGTGACTATCATGTTGTAAGTAAATTCGACAAGAAGGCACCAGTAGTACAAGAAAACTGAAGAATTTAAATGCTAATAGTGCAAAAGAATGTACAAATTGAGAAAATGTGACAACATTATAAAGGTTAAAACGAATTTGTAATTACAAAGTTCCTCTCGATAAAATTATGTTGTTTTGGTATAACTTCACAGTTATCTCAAGGTATAAATTGCTGAGAGACCAGAAAATCAAGTGAATGGCGGTTCAGACCATACCATACGCACTCGGTTAGAATCGTATGGCTGCTTTCATTTGTCAGGGATTCTAAATCTGCTAACTTCCATAGACGACCTGCACGGCTTAACTCTCTTCATATCCTGCGGAACACATAAAGATATTAGACAATGAAGTCAAGGAAAACTATTGATGGATTATTGCAAGATGTTTAAGATTTTGACGCCACCTTGCGAGGGCCTTTTGTTACGTCAAGGCAACACCTGGTTTCTTTATGGACTAGAACACGGAGGTAAATCATCACATAAAGCCGAGGCTAACCACCAGTTACAGGACATCTAACAAAATCCTAACTTTCAAGCATATTTTATGCAGAATGTCAATTAATTGAGCAAGGCGTATTCACAAATTAATGAGCAAAAGTAACAATGCTGTACCTTTACATAAAACGACTTAGACTTTGTACTCTTCAAGATGCATCCATTTTGTAGAAGACCACTTGTTACCAATTATCACAGGGCATCCACCTATGACAGCGTATAAAATGAATAAAAATCAATAACAATATATATGTTGGATAACCCAAAAAAACAGAGAGCGGAGAGTGCAAAAGAGCTTGCCATGCAAACTTGACGGGTCTAGAGTAGCATCGGGCCTCATGCTCCAGAATAGTAGTGCATCACCCATTTTAGGTTTCACTGCAAGTCCCTGTTTACCACATTCAGATAATTCATTCCACCATGGCACAGAGCTGATATTCCCCTTTGCAGCAGGAAACACCGTCTCACCGCCTTCTTCAACATCTGACCTGAATCGATGGCAGAAGAAATGGTGGATTAGAGAGAGAAAACAGAAAAAACCAGAGACATAAGACACGGGAATGCAATACAAATTAAGTTACTTTAGTAAATATATTGAACGTGTGGGAAGAGAAAAACAATCTTACAGATACATCAAAAGAGTAGCAACCCGTTGGCCACCATTCTTGGTGTTGAATTCATCTAGGAAGTAATCAAAATGTGCATCGTATTTTTGCCCAACTTCGTAGTGGAGAATCTGAAGTCCTTCTCCATGCTCTGAAAATTGCACGCAAGAATAAAAATCAGCAGATAATCAATACACTGAGATATAACCAATACATGGAGATAAAAACACTTATAAAGCAAAAAGAACAAATCCAAATTTGTATTTCAGCATCATTGAACAATATTATAGTAGTAAAACTCTTTTCCCTTTGAAATTTATGCGATAAAAAGGCATTTGATTTAAAAGAAAGGTGTCACGGACTCACCGTACAAGGCACTAATCAAATAATCATTTGACAAAAAGAAAAATAATGGATTAGAAGAAACATAAAGGTGTAGTAGCATCATACCTACAGGAATGAAAGTGAAGTCTGCTATTCTCTTCTCGATATCCCGAATTATTTTATCGCGTCCTCTCTTCAGAAACATTCCGGAGCTTGTGCGCACCCTGCAGAGAAGGATTTCTCAGGCATCGTAAAAAATTTCTGAGGTGACACCAAGACTACATTTATACATGTAGAGATCGAAATGCTTAGAAATGCATACCTACTATCTTTGCTTTTCCCAGTCTTGCTATCAACAACCGATGACTTTACCATATGAGGTTTCGCAAGATTTATCAAGTAGTCACATTCTTCCTTGGACTGTTCAAAATCATATCAAGATTAACTTTCTCGAACAATTTATTCAACATTAATTTGAATAATTCACATTTCAGGTTTCTCACGAAATATAAAATTAAGATCAAACCACAATCTGATACACATAAAACAGATTAATTAATTAAAATGAGGAAAACTAACCAAGAAATTATGATATACGAAGGCTCTGGGCTCCCAAGAAATCACTTCCGTCCACTGCTCTACTCTATTCCCCAATCCATCACCTCTGGAAAGCAAAATTACATATATTTACTTAAATCCAGAAAAATGATGATAAAAGGAAAGCAAATTAACTTAAATTCCGAACAGATCGAATTCACTTAAGAGCGAAATGCGTACCTCTCGACGGTTTTCCGCCTAAAAGAGCTGAGATCGTTAGGTGAAGAGTCGTCGGTGCTGACCGGAAGCGACACGGTTCCGAAAGCGAGAAGCATGAGAAGCACCACCGATAGCATTAACAGCATCGACAAGACGAGCATGAACGTCGACCATTTCTTGCTCTGCAACCGACCGTACCTCCCCTTCGCCATTGTTGAACGAGCTCCGAAACCCTAGACCTCTGATCTGGATGCAAAAGCCCTAATTCTCATGCAAAAGCGAGCGCTGAGTGCTTAAATTCTGAGCTCCCTGAGAACTCGGTGACCCGGAAGCCTTCAGAATCTCAGTGAGGGAGATGGTCAGAAGGCCAAGCAAGTGATTATGTCATTTTTGAAACGTGTCCGTTGTAGGTCGGAAGGTTAACTATTAGCTAGTCAAGTTGACGAAATTACCCTGCTGTTTGTATTTTGGGAGGGTCAATTAATGGGTATTTTGGTGATTTCGGATATGGCGGTTTTATTTTCCAGCTTTTGCAGTGTTGTGGGCGAAAGATTTTTCAGTGTGACCGGTACACGAGATGGTACATCAAATATTACTAAACAAATGGTGGGATTTGTGTGTTAAAAATTTAATAAATTAAAAAATAAAATTTCCCATCACTTACGTAAAAACACTTGATATACTACCCGTATTCCCATCACGATGAATAAAATTTCGTTGTGGGCTGCACACTGGTTATGTTCAGGAAATCTAATTAATTGCTTTTCTTTTCTTTTTCTTATTTTCTGCCTGCAGGTTTGAATGATAAAATCGATCGCATCTGGCACCAATGTAAAATTGGGGCTAAAAAGAAGACACTAACAAGAATCAAGCATGCCCGATTTACTTACGTCAATTGATTCTCCTTTGATTTACTTAATTCAAAATAAAAAACAAAAGTGAGCGAAAAGGAGCGTGTGGATATTTCATTTTAAAAATGTCGCTATGCTGCGGCATGAATCCAAAGCGAGTTCGAGCGGCATCAAAATCCCTCTCTATAAAAGGATCCATCTTTCTCTACTTAAAGATATATGAGGCTTTGAAAAAGTGAAAGAAACCTGAGCTAATACTGAATCAAATAGGCTTAATTTCTAAAACTTCCAAATGGATCCGATCAGCAAGCAGGTGCGAGCAATCATAGCGACTCGAGGTGAAAAACGGAGTGCCGACTATCCTCCCCTACTCCTTTATTTGGGCTTGGGACTGACATCGTAAGATAAACATACACACGCAGTTGCGAGCAATACCAACAAAAAATCTATCTTAAGACTCTTACCAGCATCACCTACTCCACGCTATATCATTCAAAGCAATCACACAATCACAGATACATAAGCCATTGACATAAAAATGGACTTTCCGAGATAACACTAGCCTCTACGATTCCATAGTGATTTATGCTCACTGAAACCAGATCTGGTCTCCAGTTTCTGCTAAACAAAATTCCAATCATGCAGACACACGACACATTTCTGGTCGGAGATCAAACCAGAGATTCTCGAGTGTCACCGGTTTCATACAACCCCTAGACATTGTTGTATGCAACCGGTGATGTGACAGATTTTCTCGAGATCATATACAATCCCTAAGCATGGTTGGATGCAACTGGTGATACGACCAATTTTCTCGAGATCATGGGACCTCCATTCATTCCCTCTACAAACCAACTTTGAGCTCTAGCAATTGGTTATAGTAATTTGTTTCAAAAACTTGGTGCCTTGACACTTTTATGTTGTTTCAAATCAACCCGTACATCAACAAAACCATTGCAGCTAACATTGAGCAAAATTTCAGCAATCTATACCTTTTTCTGTAAATACTTTATTTAATCATTGAAAATTACCACACAGAGCAATATTACATACTCAATCACATTTTTTACAAGAACAGAAAGTCAAAAATCGGGGTTTAACCTGCTTAATCTTGACCGCCTCCTCGCTCCTTCTGAATCTGCTGCCGCTGCTTCTCGGCGAGCTTATCTATCGCCGACTGCACCGCATCATGACCGCCGATGAGCAGTCGGGTTATAACTTCCGGATCCGTCTCGAATCGGGCCTCCTCGAACTCCTTCCTAGCGTTCTCCCTCAGCACGTCTCGCCAGAGCACGCCTCGAGAGTCCGGCCACATGAAGAACCGAGTCGCCCTAATTATGTCTCGGTACAGACTCAGCGCCTCCCGCCGAGTGCTGGTGAGTCGCCGCCGATTCAGCAACTCCTCCTCCTCCTCGTCGAGGTGTTTTTCTTTCTTCACTATGTGTCTGTCCAGAAGCTCCTCCACGGTGTCCGGGCCCTCGTGCAATAGACGCCAGCTACAATTGAAAACGGCGTCGTTGCGCCCGATGATGAGCTTCAGAGGGATTCGACATTTTTGTAGATTCGCGGTCATCTCTCTGCTCACTTGGGGGGTTGCAGAAGATTGGAGCAAATAGAATACAAAGAGAAATGTAAGGTGGGCCGAAAGCATCATCGAACTGATATGGGCTTAAAAACTTTTACTTTTAATTAGGCCCAAATGTGTGGAGGATCAAAACATTGGATTTTTATTTTTTTTTAACAAACGATAACGTTAATGGATACATGCCAGTTGTTAGGGTGTAAGGGGACTGGTGGGATTAAACCCGCACTAGGTTCCATAAACATCATTAATTTCGGCCACTGCGTTGAATGACGCCAATATTGTTATAAAAAAAAAAAATTCATTAATGTATTACCTAATTTAACCAAATAATACAGTTGTATTTTTCGTTAAGATCATTTCTGTATAAGTAAAATTGGACATACTGATTTCCAAACCCTTGATTGTCTCTACATATTATTTTTCACTCTAAAACAGCGCCAATTAGGAATTAGTTATCGGTTATTCCACTCATCCACCAAATTAATTTAAATCCTAGTCCATGACTGCTTTCAAAAATGCATATTACATTAAACTACTTTACTCGATAGGAATAAGGATTCGAACTCAAGTATGAAGAACCAGAACATTACGTTAACCAATCGGTCAAGTTTGAACTGCAGCTAAACATTTGCTAGACCAAAAAAAATAAAAGAAAAAAGAGCAATTACCTTGTAGCCCTAAGTTCCTAAACTTATTCTTTTTCCATGAACCGTTAGTTCTCAAGAATCAAAGGGTGTAACTGCACTTGACAGCCAGAGATTTAGTATTGTAATGTCGCATGTGGATGTTAAAGTCCGTTTATTTTCTATGACAAGTAAATGACATAGTTGGGACTCATTATCTCTTCATGTTGGATAATTATTCATGAGTTTTCATTTTTTGCTTTTATGCCTTTACACTATATTTGGATGAAGAAATTTAAGATTGTTAAATAATTTTAAAATGACGAGATTTTATTTTCTAGAATTTGTGAATTTTCTTGTTTGGTTAATAACAAAAAAAAAAAAACAATGGAATTGAATACGAAATTCGTTATTTTTAAACTCTCAATCATATAAATTGGAAATGATACCTATTTACATAAAATTTAAACTTGGGAATTGAATGTCCCAAATTCCAAGGTTTTTTCTACGTGAAAATTATAAATTTCTATATTTATGAATCCAAACAAGAAAATTAGTGCATGTCAATTTATAAATTCTGACTTTAATCCAAATTTTAAATTTATTTCCCTCATCCGAACATAACGTTAGAGATAAAGCGTGCGATAGGTACCGACTTCACTTTATGCCAGCCTATATGCATCAGCTAACTTCATTTCTGGACCTGGAGCACGGAACCAGACATACGAACACGTTTTCTTGCATTTAATATTTTTAAAACCAGTTTTGTCTATCCTTTCCATATCATGAAGTTGAAGTTTTTATTAGTTTCAAATAACGCAATCTTGTTTATTGAATTGAGAAGTTTGTATGTTGAAAGTGTGTTACAACTTACAACATCAGATTGCAGATGTAAGAATCTAGCTTTTTACTTTTCCTTTATTTGTTGTTTTGTTGTGCGGGTGCTTACGGATGTGCATGCGTGTAACAGAGAATTAGCATTCCTGAGATAAAGAACCACTCGTGGTTCTTGAAGAATCTCCCTGCTGATTTGATGGACGAGAGCAACCAGTTTGAAGAGCCAGATCAACCAATGCAAAGCCTTGACGCAATCGTGCATATAATTGAGGAGGCTACTATACCAGCAGCTGGAACCCTTGGTCTGAGCTCTTACATGACGGACAACCTTGACATGGACGATGATATGGTACTTGTTAGCAGCGGGGAAATAGTGTACGCAATTTAATTGGAGTACGTGTTGTGGTACTTGTTAGCGGATGAGAGTTTTTAGTGTCGGTGAAAAACTAGCAAAAAACAAAGAGAATGTACAATAGTGTGTGTCATAGATTATTAGCATAGAAAACCAGATAGGGGGATTGAAGGCTCTATGCTATATTATCTCATACAGTCTCCTTGGAGGTTATAGTTAGATTCATATATTTGATAAGTTTTACTAATTACAAGTTTTACTAAAAATTTACCGGAAGACTTTGATCACCCATTTGTATGCTGACGACAGTGACAGGATTCACAACCTCTTTCCCACGCAAATCACATCAACCAATTTTATTTTTCTTACAACAAATCACGTATCTGTCATATGCAAGTTTTTTTTTTGTTTTTGTTTTTTTTGTTTTTTTTTTTGTTTAACATGAGAAAGAAGACTTTTTTTGGAATATGGAGAGTGTAATTGCAACGGAAACATCCTAGATTTTTGACCTAATATTGAGTTTGGTTTCATGATAGAATTCCTGGATCAAACACACCCTAAAAAAATATATAAAAAAAATCAATAAGGTCAAGTGACACGACATCATTTTAATAGGAAAGGTGAAAACAATATAGTTTCAGTACTAGGAAGATTCACTTGAACAAATTCTAGGAAACTATGACTCAAACAAAATTCTAGGCCTTAAGTATTTTTGACAAATGATAAGTGTTTAAGATATATTCTTTATAATATTAGAGAAATCAAATGGTTGATCTATAACTCACAAAATGGTTGTAGCTCAAGTAATTTTACTCCCCAATTTTATGTAAAACATAAAATAAAATAAAATTCCTAATTTACATAGTAATTTTTTTTTATAGCTAGGGACGACTTCGACCATGGCAATGCAATTAATATACACTAGTTTTGGATGGAGAAGTTTCAAGATATAGCAATGCAATTAATATACACTAATTGCAATTAATCACAATTAATGTACAAAATATGGATCATCATCACATATCCTTAATTCAAAGGTAATAAATGAGCATCTAGTTTTATTTTAATTTTATTTTATATAGGGGCTACAAACTCCGCCTGTGTAAGTTTATCTTACATTGCCGGTCACAAGCCCGGGTAAAGGAGGAGGGGGAGGGCGTCAGGTAGTCGACAGCCGGCACTCTTCAATTACGTCTAATCCTTATGAAAATAAATCCAGAACGAAATCGCGCTAAAGTTAGGGTGTCACCTTCACCCGTAAGTGGCGCGCTGTGTGGCCCGAGCACAATGATAAGTGAGCAAGGGTCGCTGTATCTTCATCGGCACCCGGATGCAGTGTTAAATGAGCAAGGGGGCCATAGAAACTTCTTTTCGAACGACTCCACTCAAAGTTGTTTGGGAGCATATGCTCCTATCAACTTTACACAGGACACACAAAAGAAGTACTTTGATCCTATAGGATCGGGAGGGGGTAAAGAAGCTAGGACAGAAGGGTAGAGTTCAAGAGAGTAGAATGCGTTTAGGAACGTGAAATATAGGAACCTTAACGGGAAAATCTATGGAAATAGTGGAAGTTATGGTGATGAGAAGGATAAATATTATGTGCCTACAAGAAACTAAGTGAGTTGGTCTTAAGGCAAAAGATCTAGAAAACTCAGGGTTTAAACTTTGGTATTCGGGCACAAATAGAACGAGAAACGGTGTTGGCATCATCGTGGACAAGACCTTGACACAAGATGTTGTAGATGTCAAGAGGGTAGGAGATAGAATCATGGCAATCAAGATTGTAATAGGACAAGAACTCATCAATGTGATTAGTGCGTACGCACCTCAAGTAGGGTTGGATACGAGTTCGAAGGAGAAATTTTAGGAAGACCTTGGAGACTTGGTGCAAGGAATTGCCCAGACGGAGAAGTTATTTATAGGAGAAGATTTAAATGGACACGTGGGCAGGGAGACAGGCAACTATGGAGGTTTTCATGGTGGCCATGGTTTTGGGGAGAGAAATGAGGATGGGGAAGCTATCTTGGATTTTGCAATGGCATATGATCTCTTCTTAGCCAACACATTTTTTAAGAAGAGAGAATAACATGTGATCACCTACAAGAATGGGTCGTAAAAAACACAAATAGATTTTCTTCTAATGAGGAAAGGGGATCGTATAACTTGTAAGGATTGCAAAGTCATACCAAGAGAGAGCTTGGCTAATCAACATCGCTTGTTGGTGATGGATGTACATATCATAAGAGTGAGAAAAAAGAACAAGACTTGGAAGTGCCCAAGGACTAGATGGTGGAATCTAAAAGGAGAAAAACAAGTCATTTTCAAAGAGAAAGTAATCACCCAGTGTGGGTGGGATAAAGAGGGGGAAGCTAGCCAAAGGTGGGATTCCATGGCTAGTTGTATCTGAAAAGTAGCAAAAGAGGTATTAGGAGAGTCCAAGGGCTTTGCTCCACACCAAAAGGAATCTTGGTGGTGGAAAGAGGAGGTACAAACAAAAGTGAAGGCTAAGAAGGAATGTTGTAAAGCCTTATACAAGGACATGACCGATGAAAATGGTGAAAGATATAAAAGAGCGAAGCAAGAGGCGAAGAAAGCTGTGAGAGAAGCTAAGTTAGCGTCTTATGACGACATGTATAAGCGACTAGATACCAAAGAAGGAAAGTTAGATATCTATAAACTAGCTAGAGCAAGGGAAAAAAAGACAAGGGACCTAAACCAAGTGAGGTGCATCAAGGATGAAGATGGAAAAGTTCTTGCTACAGAGAATGCAGTCAAAGACAGATGAAGATGTTATTTTCATAATCTTTTCAATGAAGGACATGAAAGGAGTACTTCTTTAGGGGAGTTGAGTAACTCAGAAGAGTGTAGAAACTACTCATTTTATCATCGAATTAGGAAGGAAGAAGTGGTTGTAGCTTTGAAGAAGATGAAGCATAGAAAAGCAGAGGCCCAGACGATATACCGATCGAAGTGTGGAAAGTCTTGGGAGAGACAGGTATAGCATGACTCACTGACCTTTTTAATAGGATTTTGAAAATGAAGAAGATGCCAAATGAGTGGTGAAAGAGCACTTTGGTGCCTATCTACAAGAATAAGGGCGACGTACAAAATTGCATGAACTATAGGGGTATTAAGCCAATGAGTCATACAATAAAGCTCTGGGAGAGAGTCATTGAGCATAGATTGAGGCAAGAGACACGGGTTTTGGACAACC